AGGTATATTGTAACAGTGTTTGTGCAAAAAGATTGACAGATGGAAGTGATCCTGGTTTACAAGATTTCACGGCAACATATAGACCAATTGCTGTTGGTATGGACGCTTCTTGTGTTTCTTTTATGTTGTATAAGAGGAATATTATTTATAATCACTAAAAATGCAAAACATTTGTGATGGATTATTGCGTCACTGTTGTTAGGTATGGAATAAATGCAGATGGCGAGTACCGGATCATCAGATATTCATGGGATGACAAAGCTTAAATTACAATATAAAACAAATGAAATGATTATAACTATTAAATATCTTTTTTGATAAATCATCAAACAAATACTCAAGTACATAAACACTTCTTGTTAGCACGAAACCAAAACAACAGATGCGGTATTGGTAGAGATTCCAATTTGCCAGAAGCTATCAAGCTCGTCTAAGAAAAAAAATTCATTTTATTCACATTTATCAATAATATCATTATAATTTAAATATTATAAAAATTACTATATTTTTACAAAAAAATAAAAATGGGGATTATAGGAGTTGAACCCATCGTCTTTTCCAAGAATCATCTGTTGAAAGGAACTATTCTACCGTTGAACTATATCCCCTTACTAATTATAATAATTTTATTTTAACGTCTTTATTTAAGAATATTTAAATTATACTATATTACAAGTGCTTTTTTAAGTTTAAAATAAAATAATATTAACATTTGTTACTTGTTTTGTAGAATTAATATTGAAATATGAAATGCAAGCCTCGGAATAAGAAGAGCAAATCAAGCACATATTGAAACAAAGAGGACTTGTTTAAAATACAAATCTCTGATAAATACGATTTGTAAAACTTTTTAATTTTTAAACATCACCAATTTTAAAAATCAACAACAGCACAAAGTTCTTATTGTTTTAATGTTTTTTTAAAAGTTTTTATTGTCAAAGCACCTCATTTTTATTTTTTTGATATGTTCCAAATTAACTGTTTTCAATAATACACAATTATCAAAATGGAAATAATCGATCTCTATTGTTTGTTATGATGAAAACTTTAGTGATGATTTTGAAAACACAGAAACTAAAATTGACATACCAAAAGAGATAAATGACAACATAGCTTGTTTTGATTGAGCCAATTCATTTTTTAACTATTTTCAAGGATTGTTCATATAAGATATATTTTGATGACTGTGATTTGTCTTT